CATACATCCATGCTTTTGTTTCAGTGGGAGAATTGCATAATCAGACATAGGTGTAAGGTGAATGTCAGGCCCTTAGTACTTTGGTGACGGTGCAGTAAGAGGATAGAAGGCTGTCAGGTGTCTGGCTATTGTATTTGGTAAGATACTGTATCTCTGTCTGTCTGTCTGTCTGTCTTTTAGGTGCTAGTACTGGGGCTTGAACTCAGGGCCTCATGTTCTTGCTTGGCTTTCTCACTCGTGGTTGACACTCTACCAGTTAAGCCCTAGCTCCACTTCCAGTGAGAGACTTCCATATGATTCACAAATCACACTTGGAAAATGGGGCTACACTGGTGGGTGACTCATTTGAAGGAAATGGTTGTTTCCTTCCATCTTGGGCAGCATATTTCCACATAGGGCTGGGCTTCTCAAAGAAGTGGGTATCATTTATCATGTGTAGTGGGGCTCAGGGATACCAAACTGTGAACAAGAACCAGGACAACACATGGCTGGAGAATCAGCAACCATGTGTGCATGAAAGTCCCTTGTAGAGAATAAAATGGCTAGCATCCCTAGTTCACAGATGTGAAAAAACAACAACAATAAAAACACCCAAATCTGAGGCTTGGAATTATGTGATTGGTCCAAACAGTAGTCAGTCTGGACTCTAATCCACTTAGGTCCTTGAATTTGTTTTTGCCATACCCAAATGATGTGGGAGAGGGGCGGTGTCTAAAGCCCTAGGTGGGATGTGAAGAATCAGCAACATCTTTCTGCAGTTTTCTGTGGAAATCTGCTCTACTTTCCAGGACCTGCACAGTGCCTTCCCAGAGCCACCCAGACCGAATTCATCATTCAGGGGATGGAAAATAAGTTGCCCAGTCTAGGGAGAATGGAAGGTGCCTGAAGACTTTCTGGGAGGGACAGAAGGAGGAGGGGTTGGGAACTCTGTCTGAAACCTTTCATACCCTCCAAGGTGCTGCTTACTGTGTACAAATGTTCCTCACGGCCAGGGTGAAGGTGGGTTGAGTGCCATCCCTCGCCCCCAAGGGGAATGGATTTCAGATGCTGCCAAACACCAGTGCTCCCGAGGGACCCTCCATAGGCTACTGATGGCACTTGGGGACAGAGGGGCAGGTCAGAGTGACAAGATGAGCATGGAAAGGGAGCTCCTGAGAAGTGTTGCTGTGTGGGGTGGCTGGGGGGGGGGGGGGGGGGGGGGTTTGTTTTCCAGCACCTTCTCAGCCCCTCTCCATCTGCATCTAAGTATGAAAATTTTCCATCCCAAGCCACTCTGCCAAGCTGATATGTGTGTGTGTGTGTGTGTGTGTGTGTGTGTCTTCTCTCTGTGTTGGAAAAACTCAGATATTCCATCAGATTTGTCAGCAGCTTTTATCCCTCAGCCAGAGGGGAGGCTGCAGGCCACAGACACATTCCGCAGCTAAGCCAGCTTGGGCCCGATCTGGTAGCTGGGGCAAGGGCCGACCAGCAAGAGCAGAGTGGCCCAAATGGCCTTATGGGCCATCCCTGCCCCACCTCAGGGCCCCCTCTCTCTTCCTTTGCCTGGTTGCTCTCCTCTGCACTGTCTTCTCTCTTCTCTGTTTCACCCAGTTCTTTTCCACCTCTCCTCATCTCTCCCTCCCTCCCTCCCTCTTTCTTGTTCTCTCACTTCCTCCCTCCCTCTCTCCAGGGAGGGCTGAAGGGTAAAGCTCCAGTCGTTCTGCGTTTCCAAGGAAAATAAAGATTAGTACTTTGGGTCATTCTAGTCCATCCCTTAATAGTCTGGATCCTTTGTGCAGTGGAGAAGGACAAAAGCAGGGATTCCAGTGTTTCCAGCGAGTGTTGCCACGCACGTGTAGAAATGCGTGTGTGAGATTCTTGTGTAATTAATGTCCATTACAAAAAATGACAGGGAAGTTGGACAGGCTCTGTTGGGGGACAGGTACCAGCAAGAGAGTGGGGAGTCTGGATGGAGGACCCTTCTCCCCTCCCCCAGAGAAGAAAGGATGGATCCTGAGAAGAAATGATGGATCCTGAGGAAGGGCCGGAGCCATGGTGGCTATCCCTCACTCCTTTCAAATGGCCTCCTGCAGCCTCAGGTCGTGCTGGGTGCGGAGACCTAGTCCCGCGGCCACTCCTGCCAGCCACACACTTACAAACTCTGCCTGCGCATGCTCAAACTCCAGCTTGTGTAGAGTCACCAAGGATGTGTCAGCATGCAGGTTTTTGGGTCCCACCCGGAGGGTTGATTCCAGATGGGCATGGGGCCCTGGAGTCTGTGCTTTGAATGTGAACACCAGTGGATTCTGGGAGAGAAACAGCCCGGCAGCCCCAGGGTGTGGAAGGAGGTAGCGGGCTGTCAGAGCTGACTGTACTTCCAGCCTGGGAGAGGGGGGCTGGGGCGTGCTGCCTGGCACCCTTCCCGTTAGCCACTCCCCTACACACACCCCTTAAAAAAACCTCCAGCTGCTGTGTTCTGAGAGGATGCTTGCCACCGATGGTATCGGGGCTCTCCCCAGATCCCTGCGATGGATGTGGGAGCCCCTCACTGAACCTGTCGGAGACCACAACACTTGTTTCTCTGCCCCCCATTGCAGAGGGGCCTGGGAGCCAGTGAGCTGGGGCCTGGGGAGGGGCACCGAGAACTAACATGGCGCTGGAAATACTTAGTCTCTTCCTGCCCATATCATCCCACCCTCCACACAGGCCCCGAAGAGTGCTATCTTTAAATCCCATTTGGACTTGACTCCATTCCCAGAGGCAAAGCCTGAGCATGGCTGGAAACTTCCAAGCCAGCTCCTCCCTCGCTGCCACGCTGACTCGAGCTGACGGCCAAGGAACGTGCCCGTGCTTCTGCCATCCCCACGGAGCGGGGGCCCCCACGCTCTCTGCTGACCAAGATCCCACCCTGGGGTCACCTGGTCCAAGCGTCATTTCCATCATTTTCCCAGCCTGCCCTGGGACGATGACTTGGTACTACACATGAACTGTGTACCACCGGCAACGAGGACATTTTGCTGGCATGCCGGAAGCGAGCTCCTCAGGGCTAGCCCAGGCTCCTTCAGAAGCTCCAGCTCTCCACGTGGGGCCGGGCGCAGGGAAGTGCCCAGTTCCCATTGATGAGCTGAAAGGTCCTCTTTCACTTTAAGGATGCAGGGAACAGAGAGAGAAGGTTGAGGGATCTTCAGCTACTTGGGAGATCTGATAGGTGCTTCTGAAGACAGACATCCATCGGTCCACTTCCTCACTTCCTTCTGAGGAGGAACCAGAGGCTGTTGGGAGTTTCCCACGGGTACAGGCACCCATGTCAGCAGCGCTCACCCACATCAGAGCCAACCAAAGCCTTTGAGAATGCCCCTCTGCGTCACCCCCACCCCCTCCCCCAAGCTTTGCTGGTGAGACCAGAGCCTGGATCATATGGTGAGACCAGAGCCTGGATCATATGGTGAGACCAGAGCCTGGATCATATGGTTGGTGAGACCAGAGCCTGGATCATATGGTGAGACCAGAGCCTGGATCATATGGTGAGACCAGAGCCTGGATCATATGGTTTCCCAAACAGCTGCATTTGGCTCTCAGGTATCCCCTGGTGCTTCCACCAAACACATGGAGTCCAAAGAAAATACAGCTGCTAGGGAAAACCCATGGTGGGACTTCCCTGCTGGGCCACAGATAAGCCGGAAGCACTGGCCTGAGCATCATTCCCTACCAGACCAGAGATGCTTCAGTGTCCAGAAACATCTGTAGCCGCTGGGCCCTGAGACCCAGAACTTGAACCTCTGGGCTCAAGAGACCCCAGGGGCTTGAGGCTCAGATAGCAAACATGATGCCCTTAGGCCTGATCAGCAGCTCTCCCCAAGACTTCAGAGCACACAGAGAGCCTCTTTCCACGCAGAAGCAGCACCGTGGCTGTTAGCCTCTGGGGCTTGGCCTTCTCTACTTGTGACCCTGTCGGGTTATTAGAGGGAGGACTCCAGGGATGGGAATCTCCCAATGAAGATGGGAAGATCTCCATGACTGTTAGTTGCCTCCCTGCTTCCAAGTTCTTCCTGGCTCTGCTCCTGCATTTCTTCCTTCACTACAGACTACTCCAGCTCTGGATAAGGGGAAAGTAGCTGTGCAAGCGATCTTCACAACCCAGGCCCACTCCAGCTTCTAGACCAAATACTTCAAACGACCCAGAGTGGTCCTCAAATAGAGAGGACATAGTCCAGGAAAGCAGCAGGTATTTAGGCAGTAGGTTTGGGGTTATAAGGAGACAAAACTTTCTCTCCCAGGTCCTGACTCAACACAGCTCCCCCAAAAGAGAGGGGTGGGGCAAAAGAATGGAAGGAATGGCAAGTCCTCCAAGCAAGAGGCCTTCATCCTTAGACTCTTCTCTAAAACTAGGGCCATTGAACGAAAGGCAGGAATCAGGAGATGACTGTTCTACTACTCCATTTCCCAATGCTTCTCCTCAGAGATCCCCACCCAGCCCTGCTAGGTTGTGAAGCATGGCCAGCAGAGGGCGTTCCCCGACTCTCCTGTCTCAGGCACAGCCCAGCAAGCATGGCACAGGAAACAGAAAAGGCGCCATGTTTATTCCATTTCTTGAGAGGTCTGTTCTCCTTCAGGGCACTGGGCCTGCAGGCCTGGGCCTGTTGGCCTAGCTGCCCATTAATGCTGACTGTACATCTCAGGACCACGTGGTGCCCCAGGGAGACAGGGCAAAGGAAGGGTTCCTAAGGCCCTGGCATGTGGCCTCAACGACTTCATTTCCCAACTTCAGATGCATCCAGACCAGGAGCAGAGGCACAACTTTGCTGCTCCAAGTGTATTGACCCTCTGGAAACACAAGAAAGGGGTGGGGCTACACCCAATATGAAACTCTTGTTTTTTTCTCTCCCTCGTGGGGCTTGAACTCTGGACTTGGGCGCTGTCCCTGCACTCTTCAGCTCAAGGTGAGTGCTCTTTCACTTGAGCCACAGCTCCACTTCTGGTTTTCTAGTGGTTTATTGGAGATAAGAGTCTCATGGACTTTCCTGCCTGGGCTGGCTTTGAACCACGATCCTCATATCTCAGCCTCCTGAGTAGCTAGGATTACAGGCGCCTGGTGCCTGGTGCAATATGAAACTTTTAAGAGAGAGGAAGATTGAGATGAACTGGCATGACCCAGCACCCCAGGGAGGCCCCAGAAGGCTTCTCCTTGTCCCTGGGAAGGGCAGAGGGCGTGGGACAGCAAGCCTGTTGGAGCCCCTTCTCCCCACAAACCAGTTAGTTCATCCCTGCAGGCCTGGATAAGATAGGCAGGCCAGACAAAGCAGTGGCTGCTAGGCTGCCTCCTGTGGGGTCCAACAGAGATGCCCAGAGACCCCTGTCCAGCCGTGTTGCTTCCCAGGAGGACAGGCAATGGCAAGTAATGCTGGGAACATTTCCTGGATGGTGACCAGGACGGAGGTAGGCTGATGAGATGGCACCTAATCACCCTGGGTTGGGTCCTTCAGTGCAGGAGAGCAATGTGAACGAATGACTCTAATGCTCCTGGATGCCTTGTGTGCCCCACAGGGCTCAGACATCGGGTGCTGATGCGTCTCTACTTAACCTGTAACAAAAAGTAGAGGTGAGTTCCACACACCTGCTAGAAAAGCACACAGGCCACACTTCAGGGCTCAGCACCAAGGAGGCTCAGGGGCCATTCAAATCCAAGGCACTTGTTCCAACCAGAACTTTCTGGTCCTCATTTCTGTCTGCCTGTCTGAATTGCAAGACCTCCCTCCCCTGAAATCCAGGCTGCACCCAGAGCCTCTGGAGCAAGACCCAGGTACCCACACTTAGAGGGGCTCCCCTTTGTGACTTTAATGAATGACAAGGTTAGGGTGTTAGTGCAGATCGATCTATTGGACTCATTGGCTACAAGTCTGAGGAAGGAAGACAAAACTCTCTAAAATAAACTTTTGAGCTATTTTGTAAATAGATGACATCTCACAGCAAGAAAAATTTATGTTGGCACTAAAATCGGAACTTCCTGCCTCAGAGGACGGATTTGGGAGTCTCTCCAAGAAACTTTAAATCTCCCTCTATGGGTGCTTAAGGGCACTTCCTCCTGAGGGAATGGGGCCGGAAGAGATGCTGGTCAGTGACCCTCCCATACATTCTCTGGGGACCAACCACCAACTCCACTCCTGGTCATCCTTCCTCCCCAGGGCTGGGCCCGGGCGCCAGCCCCTCCCTCCAAGTTCTAAGTTCTTGTCTCCCTGATGACACTGAGGTCCTCATTAGACTGTAAGCAAGCCACTGGGGGGGGGGGGAGGGCGGGGCAAGGCCTCAGGCCTCATGGGCTAATTGGAAAACTGCCAGGTGTCCTGGGTCCTACAGAGCCCCCAGCAGCTGCTCCTTACCGTTCAATGATGCGGTTGTTGTCCTGGAGGTCAAAGGCCAGCAGCTTCATCTCCTCACGGAGCTCCTGCATGCTGTCCAAGGAGAGGTAAGAGGTGGTGAGTCTGAAGTCACATCACCCAGATAGATCCCTTCTCTAGAGCCCCACCGGCAAGAATGCTAGGCCTGGCATAATGCACAAGGACACCTCTCCACCCTCCCCCCCTCCACCCTCACCTCCAACACTTACTGGAGAATCAGGTCCTCTGGAGCAGGGCTGGGAGGAGGGACCATGGGGGGTGGTGAGGCCTGAGCCCCCTTTGCTGTGTCCTGAAGGAGCTGGTAAGACAGCTGGTCAAGTATCTGAAGGGAAGCCATGCATTGGTCAGAAGGGACAGGGCAACTATATGTGGCTGGGTCAGGGACATGCTGGGGGAAGGAAAGAACAGGATAACAATACTGCCCCAACTGCTGGGCAGGGTGGCTCACTCCTGTATTCCTAGCTACTCAGGAGGCTGAGATTTCAGGCTCATGGCTCAAGCCTGCTTAGGCAGGAAAGTCTGGGAGACTCATATCTCCACCTAACCACCAAAAAGCCATTAGTGGAGCTGTGGCTTAAGTGATAGAGTGCCAGCCTTGAGAGGAAAAAAAAAGCTAAGGGACAGTGTGTAGGCCCTGAGTTCAAGCCCTAGTACTGGTACAAAATCAACAGTCTGTATCTTTGGAGTTCCCAGCATGGATTGTCCATCTACAAGCTGGTAAACTGCTCTCCTTCATCTGTTTGCACTTTTGATCCAGCCTGCCAAGTTCACTGTTGTGTCTAGCCTAAGCCTCTCATGACATGATATAATATCCAGGAGTTGCAAAGAAGGGGTACAGCAACCCCTAGCTGGTCTCCCAGTTCAGGGAGCTGCACGTGCCGCTTTCTGGAGGTGAGAAGGAAGCACATGGCTGTCTCTGGGGAACAGCAGCCCCCCCTGCCCCCCACCCGCCCCCCAGTTCAGTTCAAGCTCAGAGCAGCCTGTGTTGGTCTCAGGGCAGATCTGAAAGCTAAGTAGAGTTCATGTTGACCTTCAGAAGTGGTCTTGGGGATTCCAGGCTGCACAGGACCTTGAGGAAGATGTCCTAGCATCCCAGAAACTGCCCTTGAGGTGACCTTCAATTGGCGGTCACTGGGAATGCTGTCCAGTACTCTTTAGTTGGCATCTGAGGGCACATTTGTGGGTCAAGAGCTCCAATCCACACCAGAGTACTTGGACTTGGCCAGGGCAGGGAGTGATGTGAGTCCACGCCCCCCCTCCCACCTGCCCCGCCCCGGGCTTCGAGTGCCCATGATGATCGGGTACCTTGCTCAGGTTCTCCTGGGCTCCCTGGGCTTCTGTATTACAGGCGGCCACAGAACAGCCCAGCAGACGCAGGTGGTTCCTGGTCTTATGCACCTCCCTGGAGACAGCAGGTCAAGGAGGATAGTGAGAGGCGGCGGGCTCAGCGTGTGCCTCCTGAGGCCCGCTAGCTGCCTTCAGGTCTCCACGTAGGCAGCCATGGGTCCCAGGCCTCTTTCCCCACACCACCTCTGCCTCTCAGGGTGTGGCTTCATTCTCATTGGCCCACTGTCCTACTGCAGATGGACGCTTGTGGCAGCCGCCCGAGGGGTTTCAACAGAACCACCATGAGAACTCTGGTGGCACAGGGAAGGGCCGGTCACAGCCGTGGGTCGTGAGCTCACAGCTGGGCAGGGCTCCAGAAAGGCCGATGGCAGCCCGTGCTGGGGCACTTCATGGGCAATGTCCATGCTCCCTGATGTCCGGAGCGCATCAGGGCTCAAAGCATTTTGTTTATTCTCTTCTCTACTTTTCCTGTTTATACAGTGTGAAAACTGAGCCCCAGAGCCATTAAACCAATAGTTGGTTCTCAATCCTGATTATACATTAGGATCACCCGGAGAGAAGGCGTGTGTGAAACACTAATATCTAAGACCTACCAAGATCCTTTAGATCAGGACTAGGGTAGGACCTGGGCACTGGTAATCGAATGGCAGTGGGTGGTGCCTAGGTCTCAGCCCCATGGCAAGCCACAGGCCACACAGCAAATGGCCAAGTGTCCTTTCTTCTTGCCTGAGAACGGACCCCCAAACTCCAGTAGGGAAAGCTGTGAGCTTGAATTGTCAGTGGACACTGCTTGCCTCTGCTTCCATGCCCACTCAGAAGCTCATGAGCTACTCAGAAGCTCACGTCCTCCAGGCACCTGGCATACCTCAACTAGGTATGGGTCCCACCCAGCCACCAGCACAGCAGGAGAAACCCAGCTTTTACAGGCATACTTAGCCAAGTGCCCTTAGCACTTAGTACTGACTGAGAAGAGACAATATCGCAGAGCCTCAGTTTCCTGACCTATAAAACGAGGTGCTAGCGTCTCCTGGGTAGAAATACTGTGAGACTAAGGATCAAATTTGTAGGTAGCACCCAGCAATAGCTCTGTCCACCCAGGTACTTGAAATCACACATTTGGGCTGGGAAGGTGGCTCGGTGGTAGAGTGCTTGCCTAGCATGCATGAAGCCCTGGGTTTGATTCCTCAGTTGCACATACACAGAGAAAGCCAGAAGTAGTAGTATGGCTCACGTGGTAGAGTGCTAGCCTTGAGCAAAAGAAGCTCAGGGACAGTGCCCACAGGCCCTGAGTTCAAGCCCCAGGACTGGCAAAAAAGAAAGAATAAAGAAATCATGCATTTGCTCATGTCTTCCTGTGCTAGTTCTGCCATTTTCTGCAGAGCCTAGGGTCCACTGAGGTCATGCTCTGGGTGGGGGTGGGGGGGTGGAGAGGGGGAAACAGAGCTCAGGAGAAAGGGCCAACTGTTACCTCATCCACTTGCCGTGTGTGACCAGGGACGCCTGATACGTCTGCACACAGTCCTCCTGGAACACCTGCAGGAGCCTCTTGGCCAAATGACTGAAGTTCACCCTGCAACCACAGAGATCCCCAGGGCCCACGGATGAGCAGCCAGAACTACCTGTACGCAAACCAGCTTCTCCACCATCGCCTGCCACAAGCGCCGGGGCCGGGCCTTGCAGCAGGGGCATGTCTCTAAGAGAAGGAGGAGACGAAGGTCACACACGCAAATCATGGAGACAGAGGCCAGTTAGGCATGAAGATGGTGGTCCTCAGGGAACACACACCCTCCCTCCAGCTGAGTCAGCAGGGAGAAGGGAAAGACCTGTGGTTATGGAAAGGTGTGCGCATGCGTGTTCAGGGGTAGGTGGAGAACAGGGAGAGTCTCCACGTGACCATGGGATCGGGAAGGGTATCCTGGGAGATGAAATGTCAGGAAACAGAAGCCATGGGAAGGACAAAGGTAGGTGCAGGCGGAGTGAGAGCAGGAGGAAAGGAGGCAAGCAGCGAGGGCAATTAGGGAAAAATCCTACAAACAACCAAGCCTGTGCCAGAACAGTCTGGTTACGTCAAGATCGCATCTGAGACGCCTCCTGCTGACTCAGCGGTGCAGGGTCCCTCCCTGGCCCCAGATAACCAGCCCTGGATACAAGCACCCCTCTGTCGCCCAGCCACGCCCTCCGGTCAGAACCCTCCACCATTTTCCGTGTAGCCAAAGGCTGGCTGGGCCCCCGGTGTGACACCCACCCTCCAGCCATCCGCCACTCACTTATCCAGCTTGTGGATCTGTTCCTCGTTGTAGCCCAGGCCTGCAGGAAACAGATGGGAATGATGACATCAACAAAACAGAGGGCCACAGGGGTGGTTTACATAGATGAAGACGGCCCAGCCTGGGTCCTGCTGCCCAGTGAAGCCAAGAGAAGATCAAGTAGAACGCCCAAGTCACTTCTCACTACTTCTTACAACATGATTATTACGGCCAAATAACTTCCCCAGAGGAAGGCGAACATGCAGTCAGGGAGTACGGTGAGGAATGGCAGAGGAGAGGAGGCCCTCTCCAGTGCCCAGTGATCATTCCCGAATAGATTCTGCAACAATGAACCAGGGGAACCAAAGGAACCTCTCTCTCCCTCTCTGCCCAGCCACTCCTGCCAGAAAGACCACCTTTGCCAGACCAACCTTCTGAGGGGCTGAAGCCTTGCTGCTTTGGCTACTTCCTAGGGGCCTTAAATGCTCAGATGCTGGGGAGATGCTGCCCCCTGCTGGGCATGGAGCGAATGGGCTTCCTGGATGGTGGCAAGCCCAAAGAGAAGTTGGCTTCTGTCTTCCCATTCCACTCCCCTGGTAGCAGGATCCTCTTCCTGAACCAGCACTCAGTCAGCTGAGCGAAGTCCTGCACTTGTGACATTCAAGTCCCAGCCCTGTCTCCTATCATTAGGCACTGCAGGCAAGATATGAGGCTTCTTGGAGCCTGTTGGCTCATCCATCAAGTATATGGACACACACTATTCCTGTGTGGGTCCTAAGACTGTGCCCTGCAAAGTATCAAGCATGCTTCCAAATGGAGTCTTTCAACACTCCAGGGGCTTAGCAGTTAAAAGGAAGAAAAGTCCCTAAGACTCCTAACTTCAATTAGCCAGCAAAAAGCAGGATGTAGTGTGGCTCAAGTGGTAGAGCACCAGCTTTGAGCAAAAAGCCAAGTGAGAGCAGGAGGCCTAGTATTGAAACACACACACACACACACACACACACACACACACAGAGCATTTGGACTGAGAGTGCTCAAGCTACTTAATCTTTCTGTCTCCGTTTTCTCATCTATCTTGTGAGGATTCAATAAGTGAAGAGCTGAGTCTTTAGAGCAGTGTCTAGCACCAGGCGGTGTTGATAGGAAAATGGCAGCCTCTGACGGTTTCCTGAAGTCCCAGCAAAGGCAGCCACTGTGTATAAGGCCAGCCTGGCTGTACTCCCCCCATCCCAACCCCAGAGTTTTCCTCAGATGGGAGGCAGTTCCTTCTTGTGGTCCCTCCCAAGCCTGCTTCAGAGATCAGACTGAAGTTTCTGAAGGGCGGGGATTATCTTCAGTCGCCTCCATGTCTCCTGGAGCAGCCACCACAGACAGACAGACAGACAGCTATGGCGCATCTGCCATGCCGTCCCCAAGGACCTGGGATTTTGTTTGAATGAACCCATTTTGACTCTTAACTCTAAAACTGAAGCAGTATAACGTCTGCACTATGCTTTACTGCTTCGCTAAGGTCACACCTCGCTCTGTTAAAACATTCAGCTCCCCAAAAAAGAAAGGCCATCAGTGCCAGGGTACACACGAGGCTTTGAAGACTCAGCACACACAAAAAAAGAGAGCACAAAATAGCCCCTTAGTGATTTTGTTTCTATTGATTATGTGCTGAAATGACATCTAGGATATCCTGAGGTGAGTGAGACCCATTAAAATTAATTCCACCTGTTGCCTCCTACTTTTCAGCTTGGCTATGAAAAAGCAAAATCACCTATTTGGCTAGCACTGTATTTCTAGTAGACAGTGTTTTACAAATCATCTGAGGGAAAGAAAGACATCAGATAACAGTAATGAATAACGTCAAGGCTTTCTGTATAAACAGGCAGTGCAGCAGCATGGGAGGGGAGAGAGAGTCAGCTCCTGGTACATTAGCTCCCCCGTTTAACTAAGGCTCCTCAGGCTCCCTGAGCCCATATCCAAGCCCTCTGTGGGATCCACCACCATCCTGCCCCATGGTGGAAGCCAACCAGGCAAGCAAGTTCCTATCTCTGAGCCTCTGAATGGGCTTCCCTTGCCTGGAAGTTCGCATGAGTGTCAGTCAATCATGTGGGCAAATTGCGTAGCCCAATAACTTAAAAGGCGATTGGTTTCTCTGATCACCCATTTTCTGTAAAACCTGGCGGTCTCAGTGCTTCCAAGACACAACGAATAGGAAAAACCCTTTTATCCTATGCCCCACAAAGGAGGTCCCTTTCCAAAGCCACTCCCACCACACTGAGGCCCCAGCCCCTGCGTTCCCCATCCATGCCATCTCAGCCTTGGGGCTTGACAATGGACACCATAGAAAGGCCTTCTCTGGCCTACAGGTGAGGGACACTACCTTAAACCAGCCCCATCCACTGTGGAGGGAGGAGAGGGGAATCCAACAAGCAATATTAGATGGGGGCAGGACCAAGGGGAGGAGAGAGCAGGCAGAGCCCTTCGCTCTCTCCATGGCTCACCTGGCCTCATCCTGGATTTCTTGAACTGTTTGTAGACAAGGTACATCTTGTCCAGACAACACTGAATCTGCTGGATGCTGCAGGCGGAAGGAAGGAGCGAATGGTGTAAAGAGAGAAGGGAAGGGGGGAGGAGAGCTGCTCCCTGCAGGAGGGACCTCACTGCACTGCCACAGCTTTGGGGGGCTGATATCTGGACTGGGATGATGGTCTAAGTTGACTGGCAGTACCTTGGGGGGATTCAGCCAATTGGTTCTCAAGTTCATTGTCTCTGTTTGTCATTTTTGTTGTTGTTAGGCCAGTACTAGGGCTTGAACTCAGGGCCCTTGGCTTTTGCTTAGCTTTATTGGCTCATGGCTGGCACTCTACGACTTGAGTCACACATCCCATTTGGCATTTTGCTGCTTAATTAGGCTGGCTTTGAACCATGATCTCAGGTCTCAGCCTCCTGAGTAGCTAGGATGATAGGCATGAGCCATCAGCACCATCCTCTCTCTCTCTCCTCTCTCTCTCTCTCTCTCACACACACACACACACACCATGAGATAGAGAAACCAAGCAAGAAATAGCCCTTGGGTATTAGAAGACACTAGAACCTAAGAGACTGACAGAGGCAGTAGGGATAGAGCAGTCTCTTGCCAGGGCAGCCGAGTCTGTCTCCCAATGCCTGGCACATAGAAGCAACATGAAGAATGAATCCACAATCCTGGATAAAGCACGAATGAACCACTGGTCCTCAGTCCTCCGTAGAAGCAGGGGCCTAGGGCAGGGACTGCTCAAGGACCTTCTGGATGGAGTTTGGGGCCTTTATTGCCTCTTCCTTCTCCTTTCCTTCCTCCCCAGATGTCTCCAGGCCACCCCACATCTGCTGTGGACGTGGACAGAGCACAAGCTTTTCCTCAGGACAAGATGGAGTCTGTCCTTCAGAGAACACACGGGTGAAGGCTGGGGTGGCTGGAAGGGCCCGCACGCACAGGCTTCATCCAGCAGGCTCAAGGCCTGGTGTGTTGGTCCAGAAAGATCACTCAGTGCACCCACAGTGTGAGGTAGAACACCGTGTAGTCAGATGCATTCACGCCTTCAAACCAACAGTTTTGTGACCACAACAGCGTAGGAAAACTCACTTTTTCAGAGCTCTTTAACTCAGGATTGAGGACACGGGGACTCAGTGCGTGGAGACTGATTGTGGTGCCCACCCCTGCCCTCCACTGGGGCCAGGCAGACCACGGAGCCGGGCACCGCAGATGGGGGGCGGGAGTCTGGGTAGGGTGGTGAAGGGGGAGTTCAGGTTTTTCTTTTAAGGCTGCAGGTCCTTGCCTGTGATAGGTCAAAACCCAGGCTGGGAGGTGGGCCAAGATGCCCTTGTCCTTCGTCAGAGCTGTGGGTGGCTCAGGGAAAATGAACCTGCTTGAGTGAGCTTCCTCAGCTATACCCGGTGACCACAGCGGCGTGATGGTGGTGGTTTGGGAAATTCAGCGCATTGCTGTCCAAGGATCAGACACAGGCAGCGGAACTGTTTCCCGCTGGACCACTGCCCCTGTGAGTCAGCTCTCTACCTGGTTCTCCAAGCTCCCAGGCCTGTGGTGATGGTGGTGGTACTGGGTGCTAGATCCTTTGGTCCTTCTGGCTGGTCTCAGGGGAGGGTCTAGCTCATTCCTGTCCCTCCTGCCCCCCCCCCAATTACCCTAGCCCCTTTTGAGGAGGGAGAATTCAGCTGACTGCTGAAAAGGCTTCTGGATCTTTCTGTCTGCACACCTCCCACCCCTCATCCGACCAGGTAGGAAAATCCCACAGACCTTCTGTCTCCATGTACCTGATCCCGGCTCTTCACCAGTTCCCGCCGCAGGTTGTTCAGGCTCATCTGGGTCTCTGAGATATTTTGGCAACATCTGGAGAGGACCTCAGCCAACTGTGTGGAGAAAAAGGCAGATCTTGGGTGGGAGTGGAGGGGGGTTCAGTAAGGGCGGTGCCCCTCCTCCACTTGGCCCGATTAACCCCCCCATCTCCCCCCCCCCATCCTCCCAGCTCACTCACAGTCCGCAGCCTGGCCCTTAGCTCGGCTGCCGCCTTCAGTTCCTGTATCTCAGGCATATCAGCTGTGCTGCTGAACCTCAAGAGAGGAAAGAGGTTACTTTGGGGGATCCAGGAAGGCAAGTGAGGAGGGAGACAGGGTGCCCCACATGGCATCCAGGGGAAGACTCCTTGCCTCCAGGGGATCTGGAAAGTTTAGTGTTTGAAACACAGAAATCAACTTCAACCAAGGCCCGACACACCAAAGTCATGACATTTCTTATGCTTGCTTATCTGAATCTTCTAACTTTCAACCATCTGCATATACCCTTAAGATAACAATAGCACCCTAAAAAAGAATCCTATATTTTGTCTGGGGAATGGAGGGGGATGGGAGAAAAGAGTTGATGAGCAGGAAGACTTTGGCATCACCTGGAATCTTCAAGAAGAGCTGGATGAACCAGTACCTGCGGCTCACACCTGTAATCCTAGCTACACAGGAGGCTGAGATCTGAGAACTGAGGTTCATAACCAGTCTGTGTCTCTAATTAACTACCAAAAACTCAGACTGGAGGCAGAGCTCAGGTGGTAGAGTGCCAGCCTTGAACCAAAAACTGGAGAGTGTGAGAACTGGAGTTCGAGCCCTAGTACTGACAAAGAGATGGGGGAAGGGGGAAGGGAAAGGAAGGGAAGGGAAGAGGAGGGGAGGGTTGGGGAGGGGAGAAAGGATGCTGTCAACTTCACTCATGGGTTTCTCTTGGACTAAGCCTGGGCAAAGCCCTCCGTATCCAGTAGTTACTCTACATGATCGCTGAGCGACTACAAAGTGCACAGTGGGTTTAGTGCTTGAAAGCAGAAGAGGTTGATGCAGGCCCAAGGCATGCAGGGGAGCTGGGTTGAGTCCTAGTCCTGTTGGGCACATTTGCCACCTGCATGGCCATGGTCCATTGCCCCATCTCTTCTGGCCATGGACAGAATGGGGAGCTACTTCTCCATTCTGCTACCTAATAAGATGTGCACAAGGATCCCGGGGAACCCCAACACCAAACACATGCGCATTTACATGACTATAAGCCTTGGGATTCCTGATGGCTAGGGAGCTGTGGGACGTGGGTCACTTCATGCCAAGTGACATTCTGCTCATTGACAGGCCTCCAGTCCCCTTCAGTGGGAGGAGCAGCGGCTTCCAGAAGCCGCTGTGACCATTTTGAAAATGGGGACATGTTGTACAGGACTGTAGGCATTCACACACAGTGAGGCCAGGAGAGGCCTGTGGGTCTCTGATCATTTATTTATTTATTTAGGTCCGGTCGTGGGGCCTGAACTCTGGGCCTGGGCACTGTCCCTCAGCTTTTCAGCTCAAGGCTAGCGCTCTACCACTTGAGCCACAGCGCCACTTCCAGTTTTTTTTTTCTGATCATTTAAAAGCTATTTATTGACATGAACTCCAGCAAATGGAAACCGGAAGCGGTTTTCTTTGTTGCCATTTTCCTTTTCTTTTTTTTTTGTCTTGTTTGTTCATTTATTTGTCTTTGGGAGGGTAAGAGGAACACAGAAATGGAGGGACAAAGGGTGAACACATGCAGCAGTGGTGCTCACTGGATACTGTGTTGAACATGAACTGTGGTGGGAAGGGGATGGGAAGGAAAAAGTGGGAGAGAGCGAGAGAAGGGACAACATTATCCAAAAAGAAATGTATCTGACCCCTTCGTATATCACCTTCATAATAACAATTCAAAAAAGGAAAAGGAAAAAGAAAACGCCAAGTGAGAAAAAAATAGAAGAAAGAAAAAAAAAGAGGGGCTGGGAGGGTGGCTCAGTGGTAGAGCGCTTGCCTTGCATGCATGAGGCCCTGGGTTTGATTCCCCAGCACCACATAAACACAAAAAGTCAGAAGTGGCACTGTGGCTTAAGTGGTAGAGTGCTAGCCTTGAGATGCAGAGCTTAGGGACAGCGCCCAGGCCCAGAGTTCAGGCCCCACGACCAGACCCCCCCCCAAAAAAAAGAAGAGAAAATGGGGACCCGGAGGCCCGGGTAGGGAGGATCGGGCCTGGTTAGGAGCTCACACCCAGGCTTCCTGTGCTGGCCCTTTCTGTTCTCCAGCTTCCTCCAGGGCAGGGGGCTGACACAGGCCAGAGCAAGGCTCTACAGACCTCGCCACAGCCAGTTAGGCTAGGGAGAGGTGCAGACAGCCTCCCAAACCTTTCTCTCCTACATCAAGAAGCTTCCATGGCTCTCCAATGGTCTCTTGATGGGGGCCTAACCTCTTTCTAACTGCATTCTGCATGACCTTCCCCCCCCCCCCACCTGGCTTCCTCCTCTCCATGTTGACCTACCTGGCTCCTTCTGTCACTTTACTCCCGTACATTCGCCATTGTGACTGCAGCAAACCAAGCAACCATTGCCAGCAAGCTCCTCTCCTTCTGTCCCCGCAGAGACCTTCCCACACGCGCATCCCCCTCCACCCCACCTCTCAACCTCTCAAGCCTGCACGGCTGGCTCCTCACCTCTCCCGTGCCTTCCCCAGCTTCTGGCTAGCCCCTCCCATGTTCTGGAATGTGCCCCAGACGGAGGACATCTTCAGCATGACAGGGACTCCACCCCTGTCAATTCTTCCTCCTTCCTCCTCACCTCCCTAGGCAGTCCCAGAGCTTTTGCGCTCAAGACCAGCGCTGTACCACTTGAGCCACAGCTCCCTTTCCGGCTTTTTGTGGTTCATTAAAGATAAAGAGTCCCACAGACTTCCCTGTCCCCATTGGCTTTGAACCCCCATCCTCAGATCTGAGCAGCTAGGATTAGAGGCGTGAGCCACTGGCGAAAAGCTCTTTCTTGTGGCCAGGCGGCCGTCGTGGTCCTTGTAGAAACAGCGCCCCCATGGGTTCCATGGTGGCCCAGGTGAGGACCTGGGCCTGGGCTGGGCAGTCCTTTGGTGAGGTGGGTGGTGGGGGTGGGGGTGGGGTTGAGAGCCAAGGTAAGAGAGAGCATCCAAAGTAGTCTAGCAGGGCAGGGAGGGGGAGCTCCGGGAGAGGGAGGGCCAGAGGCACTGCAGGGGTGAGGAATAAGCTGGGACTCCAGCTGGCCCGGGCGGGCGGGACACTCACCTCTCAGTGCCCAGGCTGCTGCTGAGGAAGAGGAGGGCTGTCCTGGTGACCTCCAGCGTCCGCCGGGACGTGGTCTGCAGCACCTCCCTGATGGACGGGGTCTGAGTCAGCGCGGCCCAGTGCAGGGCACACAGGGCACTGTGCAGGCAGGCTCGGCCCCCCGGGTGCTGACAGCCGGCCCCACCACCTCTCCTGACCGCCAGGTACTCACACAACCCAGTGCAGCCCCCGAAGCATTAACTCCTGTCCGTTCTGCAGGATCCTCGCCAGCCACAGGGCCTGGTACCCAGCACCCAGCACCCCCTGAAACAGACAGGTGAGCAGGGTCAGACAGGTGAGCAGGGTTGGGCCCCATACCTACGCCTCTCACACACACACACACACACACACACAGACACACACCACCTAAGAGCTGTCTCTCACCTTAGCTGTGTTGTAATCGGCCTGCAGATCCACTTTGGGGACGAACTTCGGGATGTCCAGAGCAGCTGCAGACAAACACCTGTCTGAGGGGCGGGCTCCACCGTCTAGATCAACTCTGGTCTCACTCCTCCGGGCTCCAATTTACACTCCCCTCTGACAGCCCAGCTCCCTTCCCAAGCTTCCCCGCCCAAACCCCACCTTCAATGCAAATATGGTTTTTTAAAGTTAAGGTACATTTCTGCCACCTTGTGGCCACATTGAGGAATGACATCCTCAAATTCAACCCCCCCCTCCCCCACCTCAACATCCAGCAGGATGGACTTAAACCCATCCCCTTGCCTGTGACCTTCCAGGTTAATTCCTCTTCCTCACCTCAGAGGATGGAATGGGTGTCATTCTCATGGGAAAGAACAGTGTTTTTTGCTAGAATCTGGAGAAAGGACAAAGCTCTGGGCCCCTGGCCAGCAGCGTGGGCTCCAGCTTCTTCTAGTACCAGCTACCCAAGGGGTCTCCACTACCACAGAGACTGTGGGCCATGTTCAATTCAAGCACCTCTGATCCTGCTGGATTTCTGTCACAGCCCTGAGGATCCTGGAGAGCCCAGGAGGGCCAGACACTAGCTGAGTCACATGATATCACCAAAGCTTGCACAGAATTAAAACCCAGTTAAAAACCCAGACCTGCCCCCTTCTACCCTGTGGCCCAAGAAGCACCCACAAGGAAAATTAGTCAGGGCTCTGGATTTTAAGCCCCTAACTCCTAAGGAGAATGTCACAAGATAAAAAGTCCAGCTTTGGCAGTGCCCCCCCCCAACTCCGACTTTACTCACGGTCTCTGAAGGCCAGCCCTTTGGGGGTCTCACTGGCCATGCAGAACAAGGTTAGGGGGCTGCTGGCAGTTGTGTGGGCGATGTGCTGTGCGGAGAGGCTGGGCTCAAGGACACAGGGGTGACCCTCGAAGAGGTACTCCTGATGCTGGGGGGGCACGCTCGTCTGCTCATACACGGCCTCCAGAAAGATGGCTATCCTAGACACGGGAAGGGGTGGAGGGTCAGCAGACCATATAAGGGCCTAGGGGACCAAACCCAGCAAGGATCTTGCTCATGGAAAGGGAGGGTCAGCTGTAGTTGTCTCTCTGACCAGAGACGGAGAGACAAAAGCACAGTCTCTACTCACAGTGGTAGGCAGAGACACGGGGACCAGGACCCAGCCTGCCCCTCCCTTGCTCCCAGAAAAGTCGACCTGATCCCATAAAGTATTTCCGGAGTTAGCCAGGTGTGGCTCACACCATAATCCCAGCACTTCAGAGGCTGAGGCTGGAGGATCGCTAGTAACAGGGCTAACTAATGAGACCCTTCTCAAACCAATCAACCAAGTGCTCCATTAGTAAAGGGTCCTGTGAGGGACAGAGCCAGGCGATGTCTCCCTAACACACATACTTCTGAAAAGGATACTGCATAGCCAAGGGTACAGTATTTCTGCCGTATGAGGACAGAAACCTGTTGAACTTGAACTCTATGGAACCAGTACTTTTCCAAACCACGTTCAGACTCAGAAACTTTTGAGCCTAACCCTCCACCCTCCCCTCCGTGCTGCTTTGGCCTTCCCTCCACAGCGGCTGGGGGGCAGGGCCTGCTCCTCCCTCCCTGTCCCGTCCCCACGCACGTGTTGTGGGCATGGATGTAGACGCGGTGCAGGACCGCCTGGCACAGGGAAAAGACGTGCACCACCTCTCGCTGCAGGATGTCACTGGTTTCCGCGAAGAACTGGTCGAAGCCCCAGCACGTGGCCTGCTCCACCTCCAGGATGTTGGCCAGGATGGGCACCAGCTGGCTCTGCAGGCCCCTGCTCTCCCGGGAGATGACCACGGTCAGCCCGGTCAGCCCGGCAGCCCGCGTGTCCTCCTTCAGCAGGTCATAGGACAGGGGGCACCGAGGAGGAATCGCTAGGAAAACTTGTTGCATGGAAAGCCCCTGGCCACCAAGGGAAGGTGAAGCTCCCAGGCCTGGCTCCTGCTTGGAAGTCTCCGCCCCACACAGGCCCAGGCTCCACTCACAGGGACAGCCGGCAGGTGATGGGGAGGCTGTAGCTCCACTCCAGGGGCCCGTTTTCCCGCTTCTGAGTCCCTGCGATGGCCCCTGCTGGCTTCTCCGTGGTGATCCGGTACCTGGTAGGGAGGGGGGGCGGTCAGAGCCTTGTCAGTGGCCCCAGAGCACTAGGCTGCAAGCGACACTCAACTCAGCAAAGCATCAAGTCTCCCAGCCACTTGGGATGCGCTGGGATTGGGCATCCTGCCTCTCACCCACCCGCTGACCCTGCCCAGCAGCTCCAAGTCCAGCTCTTCACCCTCATCTCCCTGCTAGCCTGGCCCCCCGCCCAGCCTACCTGCTTCCACATCGGTGCTGTACTGGGCATGGCAGTGTCCTCTCCTCTTCTTTACATTTCTAACTGTTCCCCACTTTCAAAGCCCAGCCCTCTTTGGCACCCAGATCCACACCAATCTCCTTCCCTTGTTCTCAAACCTAATATAGGTTCCACATAGCTTGGCCCTTAGGCTGAAGGTGATGAACCAGCCTTCCTGATAATTCATTGATTAAAGAAATCTTCAGGGTGGTGGCTCACGCCTGTAATCCTGGCTACTCAGAAGGCTGAGATCTGAGCATCACAGTTTGAAGCCAGCCTAGGCAGGAAAGTCTGTGAGACTCTTATCTCCAATAAAATTGCACCAGAAAACTGGAAGTGGCGCTGTGGCTCACAGGTAGATAAAGGCTGTGCTACCACTTAAGAAAATACGTGGGGGACACAGGTAGGAGGACTGCAGTCTGAGGCTTGCCTAGGGAAAAACCACCCCAACAGAACTCCACAAGGTCCTATCCGAAAAATAACCTAAAGCAAAAAGGGTTGGAGGCATGGGTTAAATGGTAGAGGACTTGTACAAGGCTCTGAGTTCAAACCCTACCCTGAAGAAAGAAGGAAGGAAGAAGGGAGAGAGAAAAGAAAGGAAGGAAGGAAGGAAAGAAGGAAGGAAGGGAGAGAGAGATTAGAGAGAGAGAGAGAAAGACAGAGAGAGAGGAAAGAAAGTTGGGTACTGGAAGATCACACCTGTAATCCTAACGACTCAGAGACTAAGATCTGAGGATCTCAATTCTATGAGACTCTGATCTCTGATTAACAACCCAAAAAGCCTGCACATGGAACTGTGGCCCAAGTGGTAGTTTCTTTTCCTGGCAAGCTCCATAAACCCCTTCAAGACCCCTGGGTCTCTAGAGTCCTCCATTCTGCCTTGCAGCTCTTTTGTTCTGGGTAATGCACTCTGGGAGCAGCCACTGGCTCCAGCGACTTCTGTGTCAGTCAGTGGGGTAGGCTGGGGGCCCCTTGGCCTGGGCACTGGCCCACCTCAGCCTCCACAGGCTAGGCCTCCTTGGGTGAGCATCTGAGCATCAGTGGGGTGTGGTGAGCAGGAGCAAGTCCTGAATTAAGACAGGGATTATGAGTGTCCCCTACCAAGCCAGAAGGGCTCTGCTTCTACATGGGTGTAGGAGGAGTCTGTATGGGGCCCAGAGGGGGAGGGGCCAGTAAGACAATTCCCCTGTCCCCAACCATTCCAGATCCCCTGGGCCCACCATACATTATCTCCTTGTTTCGTCGTGGCCCGCCAAAGGGTACGAAGGGCAGGCTGCCGGTGGCGGCGTGGTACAGGGTCACCCCGATGCTCCAGAGATCCACAGTCACCCCGAAGGCCTTCTGCTGGGGCTTGCGAAGCACGGCTCGCTCGTACATGTCAGGGTGCTGTGGGGGAGAGCAGCCAGCCATGGAGGCAGGTGGCAGAGGCCAGAGCCCACTCAGCGCCTTCCATGCTACCGAGGGTGGAAACAGCCATTCCCAGTCCAGGAACTATAAGGGGTGTGGTGGTCAGGGGCTGGTGGCTCATGCCTGTAATCCCAGCTACGCAGGAAGCTGAGATCTGAGGATCGAAGTTGGAGGCCAGCCCAGGCAGGAAAGTGGGTGAGACTCTTATCTCTAACCACCAAAGAGCCAGAAGTAGAGCTGTGGCTCAAGTGGTAGAAAGGCAGCCTTGAGCTAAAAAAGCCAAATGAGCCTATAAGGTCCTAAGTTCAAGCCTCAGTACTGGCAACACACACACACACAGAATGGGAAAGGTTCACAGTCCCAGAGAGTCCCCCCCCCCCACTGCCTTGCCACTGCTCTGGGGAGAATGGCGACAGCGGCACCCCTCCTCCTTGGGGATCAGATGGAGGGTGCTGCAGGCAGGTGGCAGCGGCCTTTGTCACTCATCTTGAAGAACAGGCTGGCTTTCCCAGCTGGGGTACAAGGCTGGCTCCATCATTGAGGGGGCTCTCACAAGGCAAAGGGCCAGCCCCAGGGAGACCCCTCAGCTTGGGACAATGGGTCCCGGACATGTGACTCACCAGGTACTCCTCCGTCCCGTACACAGAGACGAACTTCTCATCATCGTCTAGCTCCCGGGCAGCCCCGAAGTCCGTCAGCTTGTAGATGCTCTGGCCTGCGTCGCCCACCAGACGCATGATGTTCCCCGGCTTGATGTCCCGGTGCACCACGCCGTTCTCCCGCAGGTGGTTCATGCCTGCCACTGCAGACAGACCCGCAGACAGACAGACACACAGACAGACAGACAGACAGCCACATCACTCACACACACACACACACACACACACACATCACACATACACACAGACAGCCACATCACACACAGACACACAGAAAGACACACAGACAGACATCACACACACACACACACACACACACACACACAGACAGCCACATCACACACAGACACACAGAAAGACACACAGACAGACATCACACACACACACACACACAGAAAGACAGACAGACAGATAGGGGCTGGCTGTGAGCTGGCTCTGGCCAAGGCCTGTCTAGAGTACGGGCTTATCCTGGCTGAAGGCTGCCCTGGGCTCCAGATATGCAGGGAGATGATTGTAAAAACGTTAGTATTATGCTCACCTTTGGTCCTCAGCTCCACCCAGACTTGCCACTCCCCCCCCCATCCCTGGAGTTCCCTCCATACAGCTGGCCCCTCCCACTCTCTGCCCAGACCCACCTGAACTCCCATCTACCCCACTTTCCTTCCCCGCAGACCCTTCTGCTACCTGGATGGGGACAGGTGCCCGTGTTCCCTCTTGGGGGAAATATGGCTCCTCTCATAAGCCTTGTAATCATCTTTCTCCTGTGCCTGGTCCCCTGGGGTGGATGTGTGGGATCCTCCTTCATTGGTGGTGGCCCGTATGGGGATAGGCTCCCCAGTGGATTTGCTCCCCACTCCACTTTGGAAGGGGTTCAACTAGCTGCCCTGGGACCTATCCTGAGATCCTACACTCGGGTCGCCAGAGGACCAAAGGTGGGCATGATGCTTACAAGGATGCCCCAGGCCGAGGGAGCCCCAGGAGAAGCACCACACAGACGGGCACAGGCCAAGGAGGGGAGTTTCAAGGACTTTAGGGGGTTGAGCTTTAACTGGGTTCTCTAAAAGATCCAGCATGGTCCGGAGGTGGTGACTCACGCCCCTCATCCTAGCAACTCAGGAGGCTGAGATCTGAGGATCGCAGATCAAAGCCAACCCAGGCAGGACAATCTATTTATCTCCAATAAACAACCAAAAAAAAAAAAAAAGAGCCAAAAGTGGCGCCGTGGCTCAAGTGGTGGAGCACTAGCTTTGAGCAAAAAGAAGCTCAGGAACAGTGCCCAGGCCCTGAGTTCAAGCCCCATGATGGGTACTAAACAAAATCAAACAAAACAAAACAGGGTGTACTGCCCCGCTTCTCGTATTCATTTATATGGGATCAAATGTATCTGATCAAATCAAATTTACCACCATAAAATAAGCAGCCCAGGCTAGCGTGGAAGCAGATGGCTGGGGTCCCCCCCCACCCCGCCCTCTGCCTCCCTTGGTCTGCCCTTGAAGGAAGCCTTGTGTTCGGGTGCCTGCTTGCTTCAGAACGCCCCCACCCTGGGGCCTGGCTGGTCTGGCGGAGGTAGGACGGCGCTCACCCACGCAGCGCAGCACCACCAGGAACTCGTCCTCCGGCAGCCCAAAAGCGTTCTCAGGGCTTTCCAGCACGTTGAGCAGGCTCCCACTGGAGCAGTACTCCATCACCAGCACCTTCTGCGGGCTGCCCCCCTGTGGGTGGGACCAAGGGAGGATTCAAGAGGGGCCCTTCCTCTCCCCAACTGACAACAGATGGCTCCATCCAGCACCAGAGCCCCAGGGTCTAGGCCCTAGGTTCTGTCCTGCCCTCCCTTCCTCCCCTCACATCGATCCCCAATACTGAGCCTGATGCCACCTTCTCCAAGGAAGTCCTCTCTGATTGGACACGGATTCCTTCATTCCTTTTGTTTGTGCTGGTACCAGGATTTGAACTCAGGGCCTGGGCACTGACTCTTGTTTTTTGTTTTTTTTTGTTCAAGGACGGCCCTCTGCTCCTTGAGACACCCCCCCCCCCACACACACACTTTCTAACTTGTTCATGGTTAATTGGAGATAAGAGTTTCACAGACTTGAACCTCGATCCTCAGATCTCAGCCTCCTGAGCAGCTAGGATTACATCGGTGCCCCAGTACTTTATTCCCTTTGCACACGCTTCCCACTGGCGCCCATGCCTCTGTGCAGGGCGCATCCTACTGGGGAAGGAGAGGACTGTGGGTAGCACGCACCGTCTCCTCCACGGCGAAGAGCTTGACGATGTTGGGATGGTTCAGCTTCCGCAGCACCTCAAACTCCCTCACCTGCACCTCACGGGGCCGCAGGTAGCTGGCAGAGTTGAAGACCTTCACAGCAACCAGCTCCCCAGATTTCTGCCATGGGGGGGTGGAAGGAGCAGAACTGCCATCTCTGTGGGGAGCAGGAGTGGGCCCCCTCCCCATGAGTTTCTTCAGCCTCTCATGTCAACCCCAGAGCGCAGAGAGGGAGGAGAGGGCTGGTTGGATGGGCTCCACCCTCAGTGTCTCCCCCAACCTTGCACTGGAGGTAGGACATATCCGGTTCCCCTCCAGGTATGGCTTGCTGCCCCTGCTCAGCATAAGAACACAGCAGGGGCCAGGGGGAGCAGTAGAACGGGGAGTGGGGGCTGGAATCTGGCCTGCCTGCCTCCAACTCTGTGTGTGTGTGTGTGTGTGTGTGTGTGTGTGTGCGCGCGCGCGCGCGCACATGCTGGGGCTTGAACTCAGGGCCTTGTGCTCTTCCTTTTTTGCTCAAGGCTGGTGCTCTATCACTTGAACCACACTTTTACTTCCAGCTTTTTAGAGATTCATTGGAGATCAAAGTCTCACAGATTTTCCTGCCCGGGCTGGCTTCAAACTGGCTACTCCTAAGTAGCTTGGGTTACAGGTGTGAGCCACCTGCACCCCGCATTGCCTCCAACCCAGAAGCTGGAGACCGGAGCATCCTCCTGTGTGTTCTGCTGCAGGGCTGCAGTGAGCACAGGACAAATCAAAACGGGCCCCACTTCCCACACTGCCATTCCTAGATGCCACTGAGCATCACCCTCCCTGGATGCCTGCTTCGTGTCCTCATTGTGCTCCTGTCCCAACTTGTGCCCGACTGAGTGTTCCCAGCGGCCCTCCTCCTCCTGTAGAGGAAACAGAACACAGGCCCAAGGCCCCTGGCCAGCCACACACCACCCTGAGGGCAGCTAGGGGTGGGGTGGGGGCAAGGATGGCTTGTGAGGGGACCAGGCCCTGCCAGGGCTGCTTCTCACCTTGCTGCGGGCCTTGTACACGCTGGCGGTGGCGCCCTGCCCCAGCAGGTCATCCGTGTGCCACAGGTAATTGGCTGTACTCTGCATCTCTTGCCCTAGGCTGGCTGCTCACCTTCCACCTGGAAAAAAACAATACATGGAGCCCAGGATTTCTTCCCTAACCTGGAATGGACACTGGTAGCCAGCCACCAGTGCCCAAGATGACAGCGTGTGGTCATGTCACAGGCAAGGGAGGGGGGGTGGGGGGAGTGAGAAGCACAGAGATGTCATGTGACTCTCTCTGAAGGCACAGTGACACCAGAGCTCCCACTGTGCCCTCAGCCCACAGCCCCAATTTGCTCCAGCCACCGGACCTGGCTCCCCAAGGCCCCTACAGCCCCTCTGGAGACAGGCTGTCCCCAGAGACAAACCTCCTTTCTCCATTCCCCTCTTCCAGCCACTGGGTCTCTGGGGTTTTGGCTTCCAGGCTGAGGATTGTCCCAGGAAACAGAAACAATGCAGGAGGAAGGGCCTTGGGTCAGACAGCTGGGCGGGCAGAGTTGCCACTCCACCACAAATCTCCAGGATTGCAACACAGGCCTGGAGCCCCCACCCCACCCCTTATTACTTCCTGTTGCCTACCAACTAGATGCTGCTCCTCACCAGACAGCCACCAGACAAGGGCAATGCTATGAGAGAGGAAAGGGTTCATGGCAGAGAGATAGAGAGAGAGAGGACAAATATTTGTGTGTGTATGTGTGTGTGTGAGAGACAGAGACAGAGAGACAGAGACAGAGAGCCCATGGACCCCTAGGGTTCAGGAGCTTGGGGAGGATGTGAAACCCTTCTTCAACTCTGTTCCTCATCTTTGCTCCCATCCTGTTCCTCTAAAGCAATATTTCCAGAGTATCTTCAAAAGTTCAGCTCACAATGTCTCTGGAAACAGGGGCCAGGCTGGTGATTTGGGGATGCCTATGGACAGCAATAGGAGAAGGGCCTCATCCCTTACATGCTTTGAAAGAGGCCTGGATTAAACAGGGTCTCGTCCTAATCTAACATTTCAGTCTCTCTCTCTGTGTCTCTCTGTCTATCTCTCTCTGTCTCTCTCTCGCCATTCTAGGCCTTGTGCTTGCTAGGCAGGTGCTCTACTGCTTGAGCCATGCCACTACCCATCATAGATTGTCAAAGTGAGAGTTGCCAGACCTAGAATTCTATCTTGCTTAGTTTTTTATTCTTTGCTATCTCTCTCCTTCCTTCCTACCCTCCTCTCTCCCTCCCTCTCTTCCTTCCTTCCTTTCTTCCTTGCTTTCTTTCTTCTTCTTTTTTTTTTTGGTAATACAAATCCCAGAGAATGTCAGCTCTTGAGCCAGAAACTCCTGGAAGAGATCAGTGGTCTAGATTCTGACACTGTACTTTTGTTTGTACCATGGAGAATTAAGGGAGCCAGCCAGAGGCTGCTGAGGACCATGAAGCAGCTCAGAATGAAGGAGCTGGCCAAATTTTCCCAAGGCTAAAGAGTCAGTCAGTCAATGGGCCTAGGGTGTTAGGCTTGCGCAGAACATGCTGAAATCAGGGGCCCCGCTTCGGGTCTGGGGGAAGAGCAGATCATACACTGTCTTCCCAGCTCTCCCTAGGCTGCCTAATGCTGAGGAAGCCCAGCCACACCGACATATGTCACTGTGCCTCAGAGCTTGGCTGTAGTAAAGCAGTTCCCCTGGGTGTCCTCCCTCCCGCCTCCTCTCCTCCCACCCCATTGCCTTGCCCTGAGAGCTGGGATCCTCAGTGAGCAGATGGGTGAATGAATGAAGGGCCAGCAAAGCCCAGCCCAGCCTCCCTCCTTGCTGCGCTTCTGTGGCCAACTGCTCTTACTCACCCCAAGCTCCACTGAAGTCAGGCAGAGACTCTTCCTGGTGAGCGTAAGCTATGCTTTCTGTCTTGGGCAAGTCCAGGAGCTGAGCTACACCGGAAAGAGGAGGAGAGGGCGAATGAGAGGCTCCCAGGGTGTTGTTTGTGTGCCAGCCCCCCATCAAAGGCCACCAGCCCCAGCCAGATTCTCATTCCCCCTACAGGAAGGGGCTCCAGTCCTCTTCCTCCTTACACCCCCCCCCCCCAACGCAGTGGTTCCCAGAGCCTTTCCTGGCAACTTCTTCTGAGACTCCAGCCAGGGAGGAGAGGAGAGGGCAGGCACTAGGGGCTTAACCTCAGCTTTGTTTTGGGGGTACCAGGACACAGAGCCCAGGAGGGATATTGTTGGCAAGGGTGACTCTCCTCCATGCCACCCTACCCCCTGCTTCTTGATGATCTCTAGATAGTCCTTTCCAAGAATATCCACCACAGAGAGAAGGTAGAACACCCCCCCCCCCCCCGCAACAGCCACTGCACAGGCTCAGGATGGGGCTCTGGGCTGGGGCTGCCACTGGGGCTAACACTGGCCTGGCTGGCACTCAGCTGAGCCCTGCCCTGCAGCTGTCCCCAGCCTGGCTACCCCGACGCCACCTTCCCACTACACAGCCCCATCTCAACTGCTGGGGCTGCAGGTTTGTAGGGACTGGATGTACCTCCAAAGCTTTCAGACCTCCGAGTTATTCATAGGCAGTGCCCAGAGCATCCTGGCGGCCAGGCCCCCTGGGACTCACAGGCAGGGCTAGTTGCCACCTGGGATCTGGATCAGAGGGTTTTTTCCCCCCCTGCCTTCCTGCTGGCGCAGCCCAGCAAAGCCCTGCTCACACTTCCTGATTGCTCTCTCTCTTTCCCCACCTCTCTTCCTCCCTCCCTCTCTCACTCTTAAAGAAACAGGCAGCTCTGTGGCTGCTACCACCCCCGCAGGAAGGGGAAAGAGGGTGCTTTGAGTTCCCAAGTGGAGGCAACAAGGGCAGAGTTAAGCCACCGAGGCCAAGGAGCTGAGGCCTGGACTTTAGTGGCGGATGATGGAGTATTGTTTGGGCATGTCACTGGAGCAGTAAAGCTGAGGGCTCTATCTGGAGTCAACAGAACAAGTTGGGCTAGTAAATCAAGTAAAAGGGAAAGACCCTGGAGCAGAAGTGTGTGTGTGTGTGTGTGTGTGTGTGTGTGTGTGTGTGTGTGTGTGTTGGGGAACAGGAGCCATGCTATTCCTAGGAGAAGTTGGTCCTGCCCTTGAACTCACAGAGGCTCAAGAGCAAGACCTTGTGTCTGTCCTTTTCTGTGACTTCCAGCTCAGGCACAGCCCCTTGCAGCCAGCTTCCTTGTGCACAGTGGGAGGGTAGTAGCATTGCTGGTTGGATGGATGGCAGGAAACAGCCTGCCTGGAAATGCTTGAGAGACTGGAAAGTCTTTCTAGACTTTTACGTGTGGGCATGGAGGCCCACACACCTTTAGAAATTTATGTGTGGCCGGGCGCTGGTGGCTCATGCCTGTAATCCTAGCTACTCAGGAGGCTGAGATCTGAGGATCTCGGTTCAAAGCCAGCCCGGGCAGGAGAGACCGTGAGACTCCTATCTCCAATAAGCCACCAGAAAACCGGAAGTGGCGCTGTAGCTCAAGTGGTAGAGCGCTTGCCTTGAGCTGAAGAGCTGAGGGACAGCGCCCAGGCCCAGAGTTCAAGCCCCATGACCGTCAAAAAAAAAGAAAAGAAAAAGAAATGTATGTGTGATCTTCAGACACTGCTGAAGTTGGTAGTCAGGTATGTGACCTGCTGAGCCAGGAGCCAATGCCCTGAATGTCCCTGGAATCTGTGCTGCACTGGTCTGCTGAGAGTTGGCTGTTGGATAAGAAATGGTTAACACCAGGAAATTCCATGTTTCTATAGAATGGTGAAGGGACTTTCCCATGACAACACCTGGTGGTTTCCTCAGCCAGCCCCACCCCTACCAGGGTGAGGAGGGCACAGGAACCAAGGGCACTGCCTCCTGCTCAGAAAGAGTCACCTGATGATACTGTGTGCAGTGGATTCTCAAAGCAGGCTCCACCCTGTTCCATTTGCTGAAATTATACTTCCTGGCACCCTGGAATTGGGCAGGGAGAAAGTATGTGCTTGCCTAAGTAAGCATCTAGTTCCTGCTGCGAGACTCCCACCCCCCACGTCTCCCCTCCCCCTCCCCCCTCCTGCTCTCTGTGGTAAGGTGATTCTGTTCAAAGTGGTGGCTGGCTACGCCATGCATCTGAGACCCTAAGTGACTTTCTGGAGCAGAGCGCCCCCTGCTGGCCCATGAGATATGAACCCAATCTTGGTGAGATGGATGAGAAATCAATCCTGCTTTAGGCCACTGTGGCTGGCAGCATCACCAAATGCTACTTGTTTCCTATCATGAACCAGCATCCTTCTTTACCCAACAAGGCTGATCTTTCTTTCCCAGTCATTTTCTCATCCTCAAATGCCAACAGACACAGACAGGTGTCTAGCACTTCCTGTGAAGCCAGACTACTGTGCTCAAGACAGGAAGGAGAGCCCTAGGCAATCGCTTAGGGGCCCAGGACAGGGCGGATGCCAGGAGGTCCCCACTGCAGCACACGGGCAGCAGAGAGTCAAGAAAGGCTTGCCAGAAGGTTCCTCAGTATGGCAGTGGGAATAAGGGAGTTAGGGGGAGAAGAGGGAGTGGGGAGGGGGGGCAGATGCAGAGTCCAGAAGCATGAGATGGACAGGACTTACTCAGAGTACCATACCTGGTAAGACTGGAAAGGGGGCAAAGTGGACTGGGCTGGTGACGGATCAAGCTTCACTGGACATCTTTGTTGTGGACAAAACAGATTGTCCTACCTGTGTCCCAGTGGGGCAGCAGAGCCAGCTTTTTGTCTGGAGAGTCACCTGGAGGGTGGAGGAAGTCTCTATATTAGACCCTGCTACATCTTTCTATGACTCTGAGGAGTCATAGAAATAGAAGTGGCCATCTAAAGGTAGCCCAGGGAGCAGACACAGGAAGTGAAGGCAGCTCTCAGGGAAAAACATCTCATGTCTGCCTTCTACTAAGGAAGTCAGTGGTGTAGTGGAAAGGGCAGGAGCTACTAGCTGCATCATCTCCAAGGTGTGCATCTTGGCTCTGTGTGCATCTTGTCTCTTACTCTTGGACAGTGGCCTTGAACAAGCCACTCAGCTTTTCTCATAGGATCGATGTGAAAAATGAAAATGAAATGCTGGTAGGCTCTGAACAGATACTGTTGGAGGCACGATGGCTCATGCCTGCAGTCCCAGCGGCTTGGGAAGTTAAGACAAGAGGATTGCTTGAGCCTAGGATTCCGGGCCAAGAGGGGACCAATGATGAGAGCTCATTTCAGAGATAATACATGAATAAACAAAATTTAGGAGTATAGGGGCTGGGAAGGTGGCTCAGTGGTAGAGTGCTTGCACACATGAGGTCTGGGTTCGATTCCTCAGCACCACACCAGCAAAAAAAAAAAAACAAACAAAATGAAAGCTGTAAGTGGTGCTGTGGCTCAAGTGGTAGAGAGCTTGCCTTGAGCTGAAGAGCTGAGGGACGGGGCCCAGGCCCAGAGTTCAGGCCCCACACTGACCAAAAAAAAAAAAAAAAATAGGAGTATAACTCAATACTAGATGTGTGTGACTCTGGCTTCTGTCCCCAGCATCACCTCCACCAAAAAAGAAGAGAAGAAAGATGTTGCTGGGCGCCCGTGGCTCACGCCTGTAATGCTAGCTACTCAGGAGGCTGAGATCTGAGGATCATGGTTCAAGGCCAGCCAGGGTAGGAAATGTTTTTTTTTTTTGGGTCCGGTCGTGGGACCTAAACTCTGGGCCTGGGCGCTGTCCCTCAGCTCTTCAGCTCAAGGCGAGCACTCTACCACTTGAGCCACAGCGCCACTTCCGGCTTTTTTC